TAATTTCACTTGCCAATATCCTGAGGTGGCATCAAGGACTGAAAACACTTTTGCTTGAGGCATATCAGCAACAACTTCTTCTATAGTAGTCATTGGAAGGTGTTCCCTCCTGATTGATTCATTTAAATCTCGCGGGTCAATGCATATGCGAAGCTTGTTGGGTTTTACGACTGCTACCATGCTATTCACCCAGTCAGAAGGCTCTTTCTGCTTAACTACTATTCTGTCTTCTTCATCCGATCAAGCTCTTCTTTGATTTCTCTTTGAGGGAAACAGGCACTGTACCAGGTGTGTTCACCTGGAAGGTAACCTAGGCCTTAAAATAGATCTGAGTATTGCTCATACATCTTTTGAGCCATTCCCTCAGGACACGTTGAGAGACTCTGTTGCTGAAGTAGATGCACTCGGACAAGGAGATCAAGGTCTTTGCAAGTTTGGGCACCAAGTACCGTTGGAGCTTCCATTTTCTTTGCTCGTCCAATCCATCTTTGGAGAAGAGTCCCCTTCCATGTCGTCTCTTTTGTCTGATGAAGAGTTTAACGAATCACTGTTGTCGTTTAGCACCGTGTTAACTTGGTGTTTTGGAGGAATTCAAATCTCACTTCTGACACCATGTCATATACCGTATCACACGACAGCCATATTGAATCTAAAATCTCGTGGTTTATTGCATCCCATGATGCTTATCGTACTTTCGTGATAGCATATATGACAAGGGTTGCTAAGGTGGCTGCGGTTAATTCTAACCTCGGCACGGTGACTGCGTTCTTCAATGGTCTCAAGTGCGATTTACCCATGACGAAACTGTAATGTATCTTTCCTTGATCATAAATAATGCGCAGATATGAGGCTGTTCCATAACCATGCTCTTGCGACGCATCGGCAAAAGCTCTGCCCACGCAACTATACCAAAGCCTTCAGGCTTGAAACATCTTGGAATCCCGAATCCCTACAAACTCATAAGGCCTTCTCTCCACTTTCTCTAACGTACACGGATTTCTTCTGGGAGATTGTCGTCCCAACTTAACTTATATTTGCACAGTTCTTGATTGATTTCTCTTCCAGGTAGGAGTAAGGGACTAGCAAATCCAAGTGGATGGTTTACAGTCGCAATCGAGGACAGTGCTTCTTTGCGATTCTCTGGCTGTTCTCTCTCACTAAAAAACGAAGTCGATCGTATCACGTTTAACATCCCAATGGATTCCTAAGACTCTATCCAGAGGCATGTTGTCGGATTTCAAATTTAGATCCTTAATGTGAGGAGCTCTTTCTTCCACTGGAAATGCTGACAAGACATTATGACGGTTTGAAATCCATTTTGTGAGTTGGAAGCCTCCTCTAGCAAACATTTCTTTTTACTTTCTCCTAATGTTTATCGCATGCTCCTCGGTGGAAAACGATTTGAGTAAGTCGTCTGGATAGAAGTCCCGAAATACGGCTTCGACAACTTCTGGTGGCCGTTTTTCTAAGGGCATATCCAGCCACACTCGTGAAGACTTAGCTCCAAAGATGTGCACAAGCATCTGGTAAGTCTTCGGCTTTCTTGATAATTCGCCACTCGGCCACCACAAATAACAAAATTCTCCACGGTCCTGTGGTACTACGAACACCTGGTGAAACATTCTCTTGATGTTTGCCATGACTGCAACGTCGTCTATTCTGAATTGGAATATTACTCCTATTAAGGTGCTGGTATTTTCTGGTCTCCGTAGTAATTGCTCGTTCAACGATGTCCCACCACTCTTAGAGGCACAATCGAAGACTACTCTTGGTTCTCCTGGTTTTCGGGGATGCCATATTGCGTGATGAGAAAGCTACAAAATTGGATTGAGCTTAGCTACCTCTTCGTCGGGTGTTTGTCTTGAGCATCCTTCAGTTCTGTATTTTTCAACAACACAACTGTACTTGCGATGGAAGACTGGGTCTCTCTGCATCTTCCGTTCTAACCATTTTAATCTTCTTGCTGCAGTCCATAAACTGTCTGGAACGTTGGGTACATCCTCTCGAAATGGAAGTCGAATTTGATAATGCCCATTTACTAGGGTTGCTGACTGATCCATGATTTCTTCGGCTTTACGGTCCTTAACCGACATGCCTTCTAAAGTTTCGTTCGTGTCGCCAAATTCTTCATTGTACATACGCTCCAGTTGTGCATTAAAAACTTCACGCTCAGTGTTAATTATGTTTACGTGCACTTGCTCATCTGCAATTTCTCTAATGGGCCTAAAGACAGTCCGCCCAAAAGGGGTCCTGACGGCCGAGAGTTGACCGCATTCTCCTTCCCTCTTGTCTAACTGTAAGTCGATAATTTGTGGACGATCGCTGCCTATCAGGATCGTTACCCTTTTATCTCATGTTTCGGGTAGACTAATGTCATCAAGGTGAGGCCACTTCCTTATTTCTTCGTTGGTAGCCATATGCCTTGGCTTAACAGGAAGACTCTTTATGGTTAACAAACGGCTAAGTTTGAACCCTGCATCTCCTTCAAGGGACTTGATGTTCAGTTGAACCTTATGGCCGGTCTTTTGATCTTCACAATTGACTGTCGCTATCATAAAACTAGTCGGCTTAATGTTTTTCAAATGTAACGCACGCACCAGGCTCTTGAGGTAGACACTAGCATCTGACCCACTGTCTAAAACCGCGTAAGTAACTATCTCTTTGCCACCATTGCGACTACTAATTTTAACTGGAACAACCTTAAACCACACTCAGGGTCGACTAGTCCGTACCACGCCCACAGTAACAGGCTCACTAGATGGAGTTGTAGAATTTTTACACACTCTCGGAGGACTATCTAAACCAATCTTAGCAGCTATTGACCCCGGAGCGCCGCGGATATCTACGACAGTTCATTTTGCAGCACCATTGGTCTCAGTGATTCGAAACGTATCACGGCCGTTAGTCTGAATGCCACACCCGTCTCCGTCGGCTTCACTGGAATGGATTAGATAATAATGGTCTTTACCACACCCTGGCCTTGCGCAAGCGAATCTTCTGGGACACTGTTTCGCATTGTGTCCCTCTGAGAGACGCGCTCTGCAAAGTCGGTGTTGTCTCACAGTCTTTAAACAGTCTCTTAAAGAGGAAATTCTAAATATCCGACATCTCCAGACTCCATGCAGTCCCGAACACTGTGGACACTTAAGTAGAACTCTGTTAAGCACGGCAGTGCCCGGCTGATCTTCTTCACAGTGGGTAGCAAGCGTTGTGAATTTAAGTGGGTAATCTTTCTTTCCTTTGCCGGATTCCTTCTTTTCTCTCTCAGCACTCGGAGAAGACCTAAGTTCTTGTCCATATCTATTGTTAATACGCTCTGATGCCTTTCCAACGAAACAGACGAAATCCGAATACTCAGCTCGACTTTTGTTCTTGATGAGATCTCCTGCTCTATCGACCCACTTCCTTTTAAGACCTTCTTCGGA